AGCATTTGTATACTCCCTTATTGGGGACTTGTTTGTCACTCTCGCTAAAATCCTCCACTTCTCCGCATAAGCCGTAAGGTCGGATATCTTCAAATAAGCTCTACAAAAAACACATGTCTTAACCATGGAACCATAACTATGTATCGCTTACATAGGATTCAGTCTCTGTCTCACAGGAGCGTATGGTTCTGGGGAAACATCTGCTATTAACTTATAGGGTGGTTTGAAGTCTTACCAGCTCGTGTCGTTACGGAGTTTGACCGGCCCCGTTCCGGTCCGTAGGCCGAGGTGGTGGCCGAGGTGGTAGCCGAGGTGGTGGCCGAGGTGGTAGCCGAGGTGGTGGCCGAGGTGGTGGCCGAAGTGGTGAGTGAGGTGGTGAGTGAGGGCCGGGACTGGCTAACTCTTGCAGTGGGAGCGTAGACGGGTTCGGTGGGAGGGTTGGCCTGGGCCAATGGATGGTTAAGGACGTTCTGGTAGGTTTGATGGACATCGGACCAGAAGCCGACGGGTTTGCATTCATAGCAGTCGAGGATGCGTTCACCGGATCGCAGTGTGTGCACAATTGTAGTTTCCCCCAGACGCAGAATCATTCCGTCTCTTATACTACCTAAGTCCATTGCGCTATTCCGGATCACGAGCCTCATACCATGCGCAAACTTATCCTGAGGATGGTCATACGCCGTACCGCCATCGAAGATTTGACAAGCCACACGATCCTTGCTCTGTAATAACGTGTGCTTGTACACACACACATTCAAGCTCTCCCCCATCTTCCCCAAATGCTCCGTCCGCTTCAACACCCCATCTAATGCCCCGAAGGATAACAGGTCACTCATTCCTTTTGAAAAGCGCCGCCTCTTTTCACACCCACCGGCACTTGTTGTCTAGGGCCTGTCAACCCGACCCATACCCATCGACCAACCCCCCCCCCCCCCCCCCCCCCCGGGTCAGAACCAATCCGTGATTGGACACTGGACTCGTGTGAAAACAAGGATTCATTTTCCTGTACAAAAACTAGGTACAAAATCAGGTACAAAATCAGGTACTTGCCTTGGACATGTGACCTTCTACCGCAAGCACGTGCATGACCTTAGGCACACAGACTTGCACAATGTCAGGAACACAAGTTCACAGTCACAAGACTACCTCAACTAGTACGAATGAACAGGCGTACATTTCGACGTGCAACTAAACAGGGTTTGTGAGCCCGTCTTGGGCACCGTCTTCATGCCATTTCTTTATTCGGGTCTCAATCAGAAATTTAATTGTGTCCTCTTCACTGTCCAGTCTCAGTTGTCCAGGTTGTATTCCAAAACGAGTGAGCATGTCTTCTCGGAACCATTCAGGTACTTCGGAGGCATCAGGAACCGGTAATGGCGACATTAACCGTGCATTGTTCTTGAGCTTGCGTTTAAGTTCGGGTGTGATAGCTCGCAACCAATCGGTATGTAATCTGCGGAAGAGTCGTAGCGTGAATTCATTAAAGAATTGAAAGACTTGATCACACCTATCCGTATCACCTTCACAAAACTCTAACACTGTCTGGAATACCTCCATAGCTTGCGCTAAAGCTGAACGACTTCGTGGATCTTCCGGTGGGACATTTGTACCAGCTCCTGTACCAGCTCCTGGACCAGCTCCTGTACCAGCTCCTGGACCAGCTCCTGGACCAGCCCGGGAACTTGTCATTACATCCTCAGCCACACTGCCACCATCCAAACAATCCAGTGAAGACGTGTTCGTCTCACTCCGCACCATATCTCGAATCCGTGATGTACTGCTCTCCTCCATCGCGTCCACCGCTGGATGCCGCGATGACGCCGTCCGCGATACTGGACGATCCGCAGCAGACCCACGCAGCGCAGACGAAGACCCGAACACGGCCGAGGAACCGGCTGGGGAACCGGCAAGGGAACCGGCAAGGGAACCGGCAAGGGAACCGGCAAGGGAACCGACAAGGGAACCGGCTGGAGAGAAACCAACCTCCCCCCCAGCACCGCATTCCCCTCCGGTCCTGTCGCGTTCCTCCCGTTCAGCCGCGCCCCGAGCAACGGTCGAATCCACCAAACTCCCGGTCGACTCCGGCGACAGCGGGCTCGACGCGGTCGGGGATGAAGGTGGGGACGGAGCGGAGCTAGAGACATGAGCTCCTGGTGACTGAACCTCTTCGTCGGTCGCCCGCCCCGCATCGGTCCGCCCTTGTTCTGAGACCCGTCCCGAACTGGAGGGTCCCGAACCGGAGGGTCCCGAACCGGAGGGTCCCGAACCGGAAGGTCCCGAACCGGAGGGTCCCGAAGCCGAGGGTCGACCGGGATTGAAAACGATGCCGTTTGGAGGAACTAGACGGGCCGCCAGAGGGCTGGTCAAGCCGTGGCAGGCGGGGGTTCGCAAGCCCAGTGGCGTTCTGGAGTTTATCGGCGTCTTGGAGCTGTTCATGATGGAGAGTCGCTTAATTGGCGAAGTAACCGGAATTCCATTCAACGTTCCCAGCCGGTTTATCGCTACACAAAATAATGCTAATCGGTCGTCCCAGTGCTCCTTGTGTGGGCGCCAGGTGTGTGCAAGCGTGTGCGCAGATAAGTGTGTGCAAGTGTGTGCGCAGATAAGTGTGCAAGCATGTGGGCAGATAGGTGTGCAGGGATGTGTTCGATCATGTTGTACTGTGGGCGACGTGTCTGGGAAAATGTGTTTTGTACATTTGGTGGACGGAGTGGTACCTGCGGCCGACGGGGACAGCGGCGACTCCTCTTCTGGGAAGCCGTGGCGGAAGGGAGCAAGATAGTTGGGGGTCCTTTTCGGCGATTCAAGGAAGAGCGGGCTGGGCTGGTAGTCTTGTTCAATATCTCTAAGCAGCTCCTTGGCTCGGTCAAGTTCGTTACAATTCAATCCCGTAACCAGCTCTCCACAAACAGACTTCCAGGAGTCAGGAATGTTCAAAGACACTTGGAAACATTTCACGATCGTGCCAAATTGGTCATGAGAATGCTCCTCCCATACCAGGACGAGGTCCTCCCCAGTGGGTCCTTCCCCAGTGGGTCCTTCCCCAGTGGGTCCTTCCCCAGTGGGTCCTTCCCCAGTGGGTCCCTCCCCAGTGGCAGTCTTGGGTCGTTTAATTTTGACGGCTTTGACAGACCTGGACCAGTAGCCGAAGTAACCATTGGATAGGAGGCCATAGCTGAGTAGGGTGTTTTTGTAAGAAATGATACCCCATCCTTCGAAGTTGCTGCAGAGCCATTGGCCGTAGTAAGTGAGGCCCGAATGTGTTCTTGCCCATCCGATGCCGCTTAGGGCATCTTCTATCCAGTCGCCACCCATGGAGTCACCGCTAGCCTGGATGACGATGCCTTTACCGGATCTTTGTCCGGTGCGCCAGTAGCCTAGATATTGCTCACCTGAAATGCTGGACATGCATCCAAAACCATCGTTAACACCGTCCCGGAACTCTCCTTCATAGCGGTATTCATCACAACAGAAGATACCAAGACCTTGAAACCGTAACTGATCATCTACACTTCCGTTGTAAAGGGCTGGCAGATGGGGGGCCGAGTGACAGGTTGTTTGTCGCGCTAAATATTGAGGCGCAAACACAATTACAGGAAGCACACCAAACAGTGGTTTAGCCTTCGTATATGTTAATTGCAAACGGCCAATACGAATTCGCCGTAACTTGGCGAAGCCACAGTGGTCCAAGAATGGCACAATGTAACGGCAGTCCACAGATCTCCCGAATTCTGCGCTTTCCAGCTCCTGAAAGAAACGTGTGCTGCCACCCTTATCCACACTGCACTTAGCCGCCGGCATTTGTATCAACTCGTTGTCGGGAATCTTATGCATCGCAATCGAAGGCCCGTCCACCACTATCCACCGCAGAGAACGGTAGTTCCGGTAGATAACCTGCATGACTATTGCGAGTCGCAATGCTGCGTGACGCACAGCCGTCAGGAACTCCCCGCTCTGATCTCGCTCCTCATCCTCAGATGACGTCACTGTGCTAGGCTGCAAGGCGTACTCCTCAAGCGTCAGCTCTTCATCCGCCCCCTCTCCTCTTTCAGGCCCTCTCGCGTCCTGTTCTCCATCGTCCTGCGCCCCATGGTGCGAATCATGCTGCGTTGTACCATGCTGCGCCATGTCCCGCTGCCCGGCTTTACCACCCACTACTTTCGGAGTGCGCAACAATGATGGCTTAGAAAGCAAACCCGCCGACGTACAGCAACGACAGGGGCAGTTGTAGAAACTCTTTTTCACCACCAGGGTCTGGAGTTGATGGCACCGGTACAAAAGTTGTTTACGGAGCTTGGCTGAAAGCTGACAGAACTCCGAGTCCAACGTCAAATGACGTAGAGAATAGTTTCCCGCGGTCTTGAGGTCATCCAGCAGCGCATCGTCCCAGACCAACTGCGAGACCGACTCTGCTGTGCCCGACTCGCCGTTGTGGGCGCCCTTGCCTGCTGTCGAACAACGACCACCAGAGGGCTGGGAATTCGCCGGTTGGGACCTTCGACCCGCCATTGCATCACTGTCCACCAACGCCGTCGCGTGGGCCACCGCTGACACTCGCTCCCCCACGCGTTCCACCCCCGAGCGGTCGCTACCGGCCACTGGCTCTCCCTCAAGCTCGGGAGTCCGATCTCCACTCCGGTGTGCACTAGGACCCCCTTCAGTCTCCGTGCCGGCGGCGGCAGTCTCCGTGTTAGTGGCGGGGACAGCCTCCGTGGTGGTGGTGGTGGTGGGAGCAGCCTCCGCAGTCGTGGGCGCAGCCGGTAAGGAGACAAGTCGGATACCGCTGTAACTGAGGGGCAAAGTGACCAAGACGTGGTTGGGGTGGAGGCCACCGGGTTGCTCAGTATCAGAAGGGTCGGAATCGAGTACGGTACAGTTGAACAGGTACAACTTGGCCAGTTCGCTCACGCCGTCCACATGTGCATGACCCAACATCAGCAGGTCCGTGTTCGTCAAGAAACAAAAGACGCAGTTCCACAACGTGCGCTCAAGCGGCGGCTTCCACTCAACCGCTGCAGGCTCCCGCCCCATCGCCGGCGGCGAAGGCGCTGGTGACAACATCGGGACCTCCGCCGAACTTAAGGCAGATTCTTTGTACCGGTAGCTCCGCGGCAGCCTCTCCGACAGATCTACGCGCGATCCATCTGATCGATCCGTGTGCGCTGGCTCCGAGAGCTCCCTCGGCGCCCTATCCCTGGGCGTCCCGTCCGTGGGCGCCCCGTGCGCGGGCGCCCGGTCCGTAGTTGTAAGGTCCGTGGTTGCAAGGTCTGTGGTTACAAGGTCTGTGGTTACAAGGTCCGTCTCTGGCATTGATCGTCCGCCAGGCGTTAGCCGTCCGTCAGGTGCACGCATCGCCGGCCAACCCATCTAAAAAAATGCTCGTAAAGACTTTCCTACTTCGTTTAACCCTAGCCGCGGAACGCCGCTGGCCGCCAATACTGCCAGAGCGCTGGCCCACGGTGCCCGGAACAAGTGCCCCTCCCCCCCAGCCGCCGATCTTTGGTCAGACGCCGACCCTTCGCCAGATGCCGACCTCAAACGTGCTGCAGACCGTCGCCCCG